TATCGTCTACCACACAGCCTCAACAACTATTGCAGCTAATAATAATAATTTTATAATAATAACAACAACACATAATTAGCCTAATACTGTTAAAGAAAAACGTGTTTGAAAGCATGTCTGCTGTGTATGACTCCATCACGTTAAAATATTTCTCAAATGGCACTGCCCCCCCTGCTGGTGACCCACGCCCCTCCACTACATGTGCTCTGACGCCGACTCTGTCTGGCCCTGCCCACATCTGGAAGTATGACATCATCTAGAATGAATCTTTTTTCAGTTTATTACATTGAATGTCTAATGGAAAAAAAAAAAAGTATATACTGAACATTTTTATTGCCAGAAAATACTTGGTCTGTTGGACTCATCATAAATATTTTTATACAAAACTGTAGAACCTTTAAGTCAAAGCAATAAAATTTAAACTAGAGATGTGGTGCAATTTTAACGAATTTAACTCAATTTTCTTAGGGATATTAAAGTATTAAAGTAGTCTGTCTGTCTGTCTGTCTGTCTGTAATATGGAGATTGTGTGGTGTGTTTGGAGAAAAAATAGATTAAGTTAAATATTTTCATCTTTTCTGAGTTGAAATCAGTTATTTGAAAAGGGTTTTAATGATCAGACTACTTCCTCTTTTAAAAACAAGTTCCATGCCCTTTGACACATTTCTGTAGCTCCTCTTGTGGTCATTTGTTGTTGGCAGAAGGAGGAAAAGTAAAAGTAAACTATGAAAGCCACAGTGTTGTGGTTTGAACAGCTTTGACAGTTTTTTTTAAGGTGCACTGTGCAAGTTTTCTGGTGAAGGTATTGTTGCACCACTTGAAATGTTCAACTGTTGGTTATCATACATTTATGTTAAGTATGTCTTTATATTGCTGAAAAAATCCTTGAAAAACATATTTAAAATGTAGGAAAAAACTGAGGCACTCAAAAAGTTTCCTTTAAAACCACAAGTTTTAAATGTGTAATCAGTTCATGTCTGTCTCCATGAAAGTGTTGAAAACTAGCACTTTAATATATTATACAAATTATAGTTATTTCTGTAGCATTTTAACATTTTTCCACTATATATATTCTTATACTATGTATCATTTTTTTCCTAAGTATTTTTATACTATGCGTTTTTATACTATGTATCTTTCTATGTATTGGTTGTTGGGATTTGTACTATTTATATTTTGTATTATATTTAAAACCTGTTCAGCCTACATGTCCCATCATGCACCAGGGGGCAGCCCACTGTGAACATGTGACCTACACCTATGACATTAAATTTGCACTGGAATATCTATCTGGAGTTTGCCCTGTTGAAGACCGAAAGGCTGAAACACGTTTGAGTGATTTTAACTTCATCTGTCATGTGCTATTAAAGGACTTTCATCATTTTGTACTTTTTGGGAGCCTCAGTTTTTTCAACTTTGTATTTGAGACTGCTGCCAACACTGAAGACACCAAAAGGACAATTCTGCACATTTTTTGTATATCCAAGTAGCACTCCTGCCCCCAAAGCTTTGCATATTTCAAATGTGAATGTGAAGTGTGTAAGACATTCACGAGACTTTGCCTGGTCTCGTTCAGCTGCTTCTTTACGCACATGCTCCACATTGCATATATACACCACATGTTGGCGGAGTTTGGTTCATGTTTTCAGTTTGGCTTCAGTTTTACGCTGACACAGCAGACGGTGACTGTGACTGTGAGTTATTTTTATGCACAACACTTTGTGTTTTTTCTGACTCTTTTTTTCTTGGGATCCATATTTTAAAAGTCACAAACCTTCACGACCCAAGACAATAGACATTATTCATAAATCACAAAATAAAGTTGGATTTGACCATTATTGAACATTAATGAGAATATTTTATTGTTGACTGAGTGATCGTGTTTCTGAACAATTAATATTACTCAAGTTTTAAACAATGAAAAACAGTCATTGAGGGCAGCAATAAAAGGATCCAGAAGTCGTCTATTTGGACTTGAAATGTAGAACATTTCTTTTCAACATTCAATTGAACCAGCAATACTGGAACAAAATAATCAAAACATACACATACACATATACATATACAAAACATGCAGATACAAAAAAATCTCTTGTGACCCACCTGAGGGTGGTGACCCGGTCTTTGTGAAACAACACTGTAAACGCCTCATGCTGGAGACTGGATGTGTTTTCTGCTGGATATAAGTTTCATTCTGTTTTTCCTTCTCTTCTGTTTTACCAGGTAGTGCACCGCTATTAAATAACAGTAACATGGTTTGCACTAATTATGTGTTGCCACGTGTGTGTCGCTAAGGGTGTGCTGACGGTCCTCCAATCACATGGCATGACTAGCCCCGCCCCACGCCAGCCGGGCCCAGGTCCCAACTGTTTTTACCGCTAAAAGGGAGCGGTACTAGGGTGACCAAGTGTCTGTTTTTCCCCTGGACATGTTCACATGCTCTCCGTGCACTCTGAAGAAGCGAGCAGACACAGTCAGTCAGTCTGCAACATGCCGATGCACAAATGTGTATTTAACAATAACTTGTACAAGAAATTCTCCATTTTCCATCCTGGTTGAGTCAAGTGGGAGGCCATGTGCACAGGTTGCGAGGTGAGACTAACTCAATGTCGAAGCCCCACCCCCGCTAAGGTGTCCAGGTTTTAACAAACGGAAATATGATCACCCTAAGCAGTACTGATCGCTTTACACAGTGGAAACACTCAGGGTCCACGCCGTTTCGTTCTGTACTGGCCCCACGGAAACAAGGCTAAAGATAACTTTAACACATACTGTGGAACATTCTAGACAATGCTATGATATCTCCATAGAAACAAGCAGATGGCCAAATCTCCATCAGAAAAGTTACACAATACACCTTTAATCAAGATAGAGATTGATTCAATTCTCAAGTCACTGCTGATCGTTGGTGTTTTTAATGCAGAGGTTCACGTCAGTCCTCAGTCAGCCTGCGGTCTGGAGCAGAGACCAGACTTTGGAGGAAGAAATTTAACAACATTTGGCTTTTAAAAGAAACAAACATAAGACATAACGTTTGAACTTTTATTTACACAAAACGGTTCTAGTTACTGGAGAGATAAGGAACAGATACAGTACATAGCACATTAGGATTAGTTTCGTCTTATTTTGGTTTCGTTTTAAGGAAATAAATCCTGTTTTCAGTTTCTGCACTGGTATCGGTTGATATCGGGTATCGGCAGATACTTAAAGCTATTGTAACACCTGTGATTTACAGGTAGCTTTAATAACAAAACGAGCCCGTCAGTGTGTGGATCTAACAGCCATATGACAGCTTTTATTTACAAAACAAAATGTTAAGATTGATTTAACAGGTGAGGACGCCACTGCAGGGCTGAGGCTCCACCCTAAAGCTCGGGTGAAGGAGACATGCTGTAAGTGAAAAACAAACAAGGTTAATGCAAAGAAAACCATTACCACAACTGAAAACACCCAATTACAAGTGCCACCACCACCAAGAACTATAAATAAAGTCCCCCTCTAAGTGACCCCCTCCACACCCAGCGACCTCCAGCCCACACCCCCTGCAGAGCTACAATGAATGAACAACAGTAACTCAACTAAAACTCAAAACACGGCAACCAGCACTGAACCTGTAACACAGTGCAGTTAACAGAAAATACAATCAAATTTAAACAATAAGATAAAAGTTCAAAGCATACCTCTGACCTGGACTGTTAAAACCCTTAAAATTATATTTATAAAAATTACAATTTTGTTTTTTAACCACATTAAAACAAACATTTGTTTGGCTCCCCAGAAATAGCCGTGTGTTAGGCCTGCTCAGGAAGAGGAAGTCACCTGGTTCCCCTCTCACCTTTATAATATAAACCACATGATCAGCTTCCTTGCCACACTATTGTATCGAAATCAGTATCAGAACTGAACCAGCTGGATTAGTGCATGTCTAAATAGTTTTGTTGAGGAAAGCTGTGCATAAACAGTATTTCTGTGTGTAACTTGTAGAGGTCTTCATGTTTAGATGAGTCTGTCAAAACCCGCGTTGCATGCTGGGAAATATTTTGGTCGGAGGCAAGAAACAGGATAGCGGTCAAACACAGTGCGTAACCTCGTGTATTTCTCCCCGATAATGGTAAATTCCTGCTGCATTATCAGATGCACAAATAGAAGCACGGAAGAAGGAAAAAGTCTTTTTCATATTCTGAGTGAAAAGAACCATAACAGGTGAATTAAACGACTTTCAAACATCCGCAGAGCAAACGTAGAAGATCCTAACAAACCGTGGACTCCAACAAGTTCAACAACACATCCAGACTCTTGGAGGTTTTCATCTTTTCTGCTGTGAATGGCCCAGGAGTTTCCACCAAGTCATTGTGGATATCACCAAAGTGAATATTTGTCCAGGTAGTTGGCGATTCTGAACAGAAATTTGGTTTGGATTACAGTTACTTTGTTGAAATAAATAGATTACACGGCAGTATTTTCCTGTTTTCACATTTAGGGCTAAACCAGGTTTAAAACCAGGTCTAAACCAGGACTAAAACCAGGACTAAACCAGGACTAAACCAGGTCAAAACCAGGACTAAACCAGGTCAAAACCAGGACTAAACCGGGACTAAACCAGGACTAAACTAAGACTAAAACCAGGACTAAACCAGGTCAAAACCAGGTCTAAACCATGTCTAAAGCAGGACTACACCAGGACAAAACCAGGACTAAACCATGTCTTTGTCGGGGTTGAAAAGGGTGATTTGGCGTCCGTCAATGTTTATGACCAATTTCTGGTCAAATGGTCTTGGGTCGTCTGCCGTTAGAGTGGAGAAATAACCGGGATCAATACTACAAAATAATTCCCAGCATGCAACGTGCGCTTTTGTCAACAATGAAACTCGCCTATTGTCAGGAAGGGCATCTGACATAAAATCTCTGTTCATTTCTGTTTATATGCACATGACAGATGCATTGTGTGTAGAGAATGACACCACACCCACCCACACAGGAAACCATAGGTGCAGAGGAGTGAAGAAGGGAAGTCATCTGAGGCAAGTTTCAGTCGACTATGAACCATCATGAACAAATCTGCTGTGATGCACCTGTGTGAGTAAAATATTCAACAATACTTGTACTATATTACTACAACAACTGCAAACTTTATTTATAGAGCGCTTTTCAGACCAAAAGGCAACACAGCACAACTTATATTCTAATACTATGAAGGCAAGACACTGCAGGTGAACTGGAAAAAAAAAACACTTCTTCTGTAGTTTACTCTATAAAAAACATGTATTACAAGTTTTTTACCATGTTATGTTTTTTGAAAATAAACCATTTTTTGTGTAAAAAGGACCAAAGTTGACAATTTTTGCGACATTCAAAACAAACATGAAAAGTGACGGGTTTAAACTTCCTGCTTCTTTTTGTTGACACATTAGATACTGAAAATATACAGAGGAGATTTTGGATTTTATTCGGTATTTGAGTCCAAAAGATCTGACTGAAAATGTGTCTGAAAAAAATATTTTGCCTCACAACTTTAATAAATCAGACTTGGAATTAGATTTTTTTTTTTTTTTTTAAATCCACGTTTCTCAAATCTTCAAGTAGATGAATCTTTGTAAATTCAAATCTAAGTTTCCTTAAAATCTTGTTAAGTAGAAGATTGTAATATTTGGTGTGTGTAGGTGCTGCTTTAAACGTTGATCTTTTGAAATGATAATGTCCCATAGATCTACATCTACAAACTGATTAAATATTAAAACATGTTTTGGTGGAGACAAATCTGTTTGATCCCCATGAAATCTTCCATGCTCAGAGACCAAACTGACCAGAAAACAAACTACACTAAACAGTGTGTTGCCTGCAGTATCTCCCTTTAACAGTGTTGGGAAGGTGACTTTTAAAATGTATTCTCCTACAGATTACAGATTACATACCCAAAAATGTAGTTTGTAACGGAATACATTAAATTGCTTAAAGTGAGTAATGTAATCTGAATACTTTGGATTACTTGATTTGCTGTAGAGAAGCAAAGACGAGGAAATCTTCACATAAGATGTTTTGTCTGATAAAAGAAAATAAAAAGACCAGACTTTACTGAACCAGATAAAAAATATTATTGATAGAAGACGAGGAAACACGTCCACACAGCTGCATTTAGTCCTGTTTAGACATGGTTTTAGACCTGGTTTAGACCTGGTTTAGACCTGGTTTAGTCCTGGTTTAGACCTGGTTTAGACCTGGTTTTAGGCCTGGTTTAGTCCTGGTTTAGACCTGATTTAGACCTAGATTTAGACCTGATTTTAGTCCTGGTTTAGACCTGGTTTAGTCCTGGTTTAGACCTGGTTTAGTCCTGGTTTAGACCTGGTTTAGTCCTGGTTTTGGTTTAGACCTGGTTTAGACCTGGTTTTAGACCTGGTTTAGTCCTGGTTTAGACCTGGTTTAGACCTGGTTTTAGACCTGGTTTAGTCCTGGTTTAGACCTAGTTTAGACCTGGTTTTAGACCTGGTTTTAGACCTGGTTTTAGACCTGGTTTTAGACCTGTTTAGACCTGGTTTAGACCTGGTTTTAGACCTGGTTTAGACCTGGTTTAGACCTGGTTTAGACCTGGTTTAGACCTGGTTTTAGACCTGATTTTAGACCTGGTTTTAGACCTGGTTTAGACCTTTTAGACCTGATTTTAGACCTGGTTTAGACCTGATTTTAGACCTGGTTTAGACCTGGTTTGGACCTGGTTTAGACCTGGTTTAGTGTCCAGCAATGAATGGAATAAAAAAAAAAAAAAGGATATAGCCCAAAATGTGAAATGTGAAAACAGGAAAATACTGCCCTGTAATCCATTTATTTCAACAAAGTAACTGTAATCCAGTTACCACTCACTGAAACAGTAACTGTAACTGAATACAGTTACTCATAATTTGTACTCTGATTACATAACGCCAGTACATGTAATCTGTTACTCCCCAACACTGGCCTTTAAAGTGAACTTGTTTGTGTTTTAAGTGTATAACATGTGTTGGTGTTGTTTTTAGTGGTGCTGGCTTCACTGTGGTGCTGCCATGGAACCAGCCAAGGTAAAGTTCAGTTAAAAAGACATTATCTTTAGAGATGCACTGATCCGATTCTTTTATCTAAAACAGCTCTGATACTGAACAATGTGCTTGATCTAATATCGGCTTCCAAATATCCGTTCAGCCGATATTCTGATTGGACACACTGATGTAATATGACTATTTACTGATGATGGTCAACCTAGAAAGTCTCATAATGTTTGAACTTTTATTTACACAAAACTGTTCTAGAGTTACTTGAGAGATAAGTAACAGTTACATAGCACATTAAGAATCTGTGTTGTTTTAGTTATTTTAGTTTAGTTTTAAGGAAATAAATCCTGTTTCCAGTCTCTGCACTGCGCCTCGGCAGATACTTAAAGCTACTGTACTGAAATTGATATCAGAACTGAACCAGCTGGATTAGTGCATGTCTAAATAGTTTTGTTGGGGACAGCTGTGCATTAACAGTATTTCTGTGTGTAACTTGTAGAGGTCTTCATGTTTAGATGAGTCTGTCAGACCTGGTAAAGTCCTGCACAGTCTGGTTCTGTTTGGAGCTAAAATAGTTTAGTGACATGTTGTAGCAAAAACTTTTAAGTATTTCAAGTATTTTGATCAAATGTTATCATTAACATATTTGTAATTTTGGGGCTTTACTGAGTTTTACAGAGGTTCTCATCCAATCCTATGTCAGGATGTGGGCTGGAGCAGAGACCAGACTTTAGAGGAGGAAATTAGACAATATTTTACTTATAAAAGACTGTCTTCTTAAATTGAACATCATGCTAGATCAATACAAGGGGGGAAAGTGTTATACCAACAAGGCATTTGAGTATTACAAGTAATTGTCACACCTCCTCCACCTCAGTGGAACCAAGCCTGTGGTCAAGTGGAATGTGTAGGCGTTTCCATGGTGACACAAAGCACACATTAACAAACAGTGTCAAAAAGGTTTTGATCGTCTGAAAACTCAAGAGAAAATACATTTAAAAAGTGACTTGAAGCAACACATTTTCAGGATTCCTGTTTAGATAAGGTGAGAGCACCTAACTGAACTGACTGTTATTTTATGTGTCGAGATTTATTTAACAGCACAAATCAGCTCCAAATAGGAAGTGAACATAATGTGGGCGCTTCCGGCTCCATCAACTCTGGTTGAAAAACTGTGGCCCCTTTTTCTGTAACTGCTGCAGTGAGCATCATCATTTTGAGCTTAAAATGTTCATATTAACGCACTCTACAAAATACTGTTATTTTTATATTACTGTATTTATCGGGCTATTAGACGCACTCTTAACCCTCTCAGGCTCAAATTAAATTTTAGTAACAGGAAAAAATCTGATATTTTGGGAAAATGATCATATGGGGTACTAATATACAATCCTGACTTTTTTTTGAGAGACCTTCACATGCAATGCATTCTGGGATGTTGCAGATTTGGTAAATTAACACTGAAGACTGAAAATGATATGAACACTAACTTTATGTGTAAACCACTTTTCATTACAATGAAAACATAAAGCACAGTGTAACAGCTTTACAGTGACAGAACAACATCACTTTTTCGTGTGGTTCTCCAAGAAACAATTTTTATCCTACAGTTATACAATCTGCATCGTCCACGTTTATCAGCATGGATGGGAAAAAAGGCTCCTGAGTAAAAAAAGCTTATAAAACATGGATTTGGAGTAAATAGGTAATTGGCATTTAGCTGTTTCAAATCTGCAACGCCTGCCTGGAGAGGGTTAAGCCTCTAACCCCATCAAAAAACAACTGCGCCCCACGATGCAGAGCGCAGTATACACGAATCCACTCAGGTGTCCCACCACGACTTCAGTAAACTACAAAGCTGCACCACCTGCAGAACACACAAACACACACGGAGCAGACAGAGACCGCGCAGCGATAAACACCCACAGACACACTCATCACTCCACACCGACGAGGAACGGAACAGAGGAACAAACCGAAAAAGCGAGTGCAATGTGCCACTTCTAGACACAACTGAACAAAGCCCAGAGTCACCGTGAACGCCACAAACAAACAAAACCACTCACCCATCACACTGTTGTTTCGTTTAAAGTCCCACGTGGTTTATTTCTGAAAAAAGTTAGAAAATAGACCATTTAATGACAGTGCGCCTTATAATCCAGAGCGCCTAATAGCCCGGAAAATACAGTACTATTTTGACTATAAATACATTTCTATTCCCCAATATGAAACTTGAGTCCAGATTCACCCCCGTAACTGCTAGCCTGTGTGAGCTCCACTTGACTGGAGCCAAACACTGTGGCTGCTGTCCCACATAGATGTTTTGATAACTTGTATAAAGTGTAAAATGTGGTGTATTAAATCTCTGCAGGTTGATACAGACTCACAGTGTTTTCAGTATTGTGGAGTGTAATATAATATTGTAAGTCCATATGTTGTTTGTTTAGTCTCGCTGAAGGTGTCTCCTGGGCCCAATCTATTTGAAGGCGGCTTCTTTCTGCTGAAATGTTTTCCTGAAGACCAAGCTGAAGAGGAAGAATGGAGAGTGTGCAGAAACACCACCAAGCAGCCCACCTCCCAGCCCACCTCCCAGCTCTGTGGGCAGGGCTGGGGCCAACAGCTCATGAACAGCTGCAAGGTGGGGCTGGCCGTGACCTGGGACAGCGGGCTGTACTGGTGCCAGTCCAAAGAGGGCGCTGTCAGCAGCACTGTCGGCATCAGAGTGGAGAGTGAGTGACCTGAATGTTTTACATCTTTATAGATCAGTGCTAAGGCTCATTTTGAGGACTAATAACTATTGAAATAACACCACAGCCTGAAATAATCTGCACTCAAAAATAATTGGGTTGTTAATTTTGTCGTAATGTTACGTAACCACAGCTGGACTAAGGGGTCCTCACTTATACAATCATTTATAAAATACAAGTATGTCTGGTGAAACAAAGGGCAAAGGCAGCACAGAGTGGGAAATTTGTATTTAAACAATCATTTTAAAAAGGGTTTCTTTTATGGTTCAACATGTGCACAGTACAATATAAAGTGCTGTAGTTGGTTTTAATGTGTAAAGTGCTTATGTGAGTGGGATTAAGGTGCTTTGACTTTCAGATGTGTAAAGTGCATGGTGTGTGAAGAATCCCTCAGTCGTCCAGGTAGAATCGATGGTGAGGAGAAAATTCAGTTTGTCGACTGGAACTAACTTTTGTCCAGTCGACAAACTGAATTTTCTCCTCACCATAAAGTGCACGGTGCCAGCAGAGTCCCAAAGCAGACTCACCTGCTTTGCTCTATGCTCTAGAGCACAAACTACCCCCACCGATAAATCTATGAAAATATAAGCACTACAACTACAGTCAAAGCTACAATGATAAAGGAAAAGTTTAAGAGCAAAATTTGAGATTAATTTGTGATCAGAATTCGAGAGCAACATTACTCACACCAGCAGCTGTTCTACAAGAACCCATGGGTTACTTACAAGAATGTCATTAGCCAACACCAAACCAAATACACAAAATAAAGTGCTTTTAATAGCACCCAGAAACTCCTGCCCTACATGGGGCTGAGACGACTGGTGTGGCCTGTCACCACCGCCAACTCTGTACACACACACACATGCCCTGCACAGCACCCCGCAGAACGCCCCGACCACAACACTGAGGCATGCACGCATTTCTCTAGTTTCTAATCAGTGACATCGGGAGCACCACGCACTGTCACATTCACCAACACACCATGATGGGAAATTATAACACTTGTGACCTCCTGGTTAAATTAGATTTAATGTTTTAAGAGAAGTTAGTATAAGCATTGACACACAAGGACCTTTTTAAAAGCAGAAGTGACATTGACTGAAGTTTAGTTTTAATTTGAAGTAAAGGTGCGCTGACACGTGAATAAAGTTCTGCAGTGTGAATGACCTGAAATGGCGCGGCACGATTCGTGCGTTTTGAGCGTTTTGAGCATTTTGAGCGTTGCAAATTCTTGCATTTTGGCATTGACATGTGAATTCCCAAAAGGGAGGGGCTTGCAAAATTCACCAAAGTTTAAAATGTTTAACTTTCTGTGAATATTCGCATCACATCAACCAATCAGGGGCCGTGTTCTGATAGTGACGTATAAAACTGAGAGAGATGTGAACTGTGATTCAACATGGAGGAGACACTCAATGTTCCCGTGGGAAATGAGCCGATATGATACGATACCAACACGAGCCAGGACAGAGACAGAATAAACTCCACAGAGCACGACCTACACCAGAGTCTGTTCACCTCTCTTATTCTGGTTCTGATCCTGGTCCCGGTTTGGTCCTGGTCCTGGTTCCGGTCTGATCTGGGTCTGGTCCTGGGCTCAGTCCTGGTCTGCAATGCCGGACTTTTATGCCGCATACGGACTGATGCAGGACTAAACCAGGACTGAACCAGGACTAAACTGGTTTCAGTCCTGGTCTGGTTCCAGTCTGGTTCAGGTCTGGGTCCTGGTCCTGGTCCCTGTCTGGTCTAGGTCTCAGTCCTGGTCTGGTCCTGGGCTCATTCCTGGTCTGTGATGCTGGACTTTTGCGCCGCATAAGGACTAAACCAAGACTAAACTAGGACTAAACCGGTCTCAGTTCTGGCCTGGTCCCAGTCCCGGTCTGGTCCCGGTCTCAGTCCCAGTCTGGTCAGCCCACTGTAGTCCAAGTCCGCCATTTTTCCGGTGGTGATGGCAGGAGGGCCAGCCTCTGCCCTGTGTGCCCTGCTCACTGACATAGATGCACCTGAATGAGCCTGATCATTAACAGCATAAAGCACAGAATCAAAGCCTCCAGAGACAGTTTGAATTCCAAAAAGATGTTCTACACATTAGAAGAGTTTATTCAGTCTTTATTTTTGAAGCAACATAAAACATTAGTCCAGTTATCCTGAAAAAGTTTCAGGGTTTTATATTTGTGTCCACAGTCCAGTGTGAGGCAGCAGCTCACAGACAGGGGGCACTAGAGCTCAGTTGTCACAGTCAGGTAGCCTCTTCTTTCCTGTCTCTGCAGGCAGTAAACTCCTGGTGGTAGTTCCAATGCTCCCGGTGTCTGAAGGTGAAGACGTGACTCTGACGTGTTTGGACAGAGACCGCTCCAGTGTGTCCGCTCACTTCTACAGAGACGACCTCCAGCTGACCTCTGACCCCCGCCCTGACCTCTCCCTCCGCCCTGTAAGTTGGTCTGACCGGGGCTGGTACAAGTGCAGCGCCAGAGATATGGAGTCTTCACCCGCTCTTCTACAAGTCCACAACCGCAGTGGAGGTAAGGGTCCTCACACAGACTGAGTAAAGAAGTGCACTAAGGGAGTGGGACGTCCCCCTCAGCGCTCACCTCCAGTCACATGAAGCTCAAATCTAAGTTAAAATGACTTGAATTAAGAATGTTTTATCATGACTATATTTATCTACCAATGGAACATTATTTTTTGTACTTATGATATGAAAATACATCTTGTTACACTTAAAATAAGAAAAACAACAATTCTTTTCACTTAATTTTAGATTGGACAGAGATAGCGCCCACAAACTCCGCCCCTGAGCCTGACTCCGCCCACACACACCTGGTGTTGAAGGTGCTCTGCCACCTGCTGGTCTTGTGCCCGTACTGCATCTCCACTGTGCTCATGATCTCCCTGTATCAACGACAAAGACCCACAGGTAAACTCCAGAACCAAAAACTGACCCAGGACTAAACCAGGTCTAGAGATGATGACACTAGACACAGTTTTGTTACTTAAAGCTGCACTGTGTAACATTAATAGTGGAGGGTTCATCACCTGCTTGCCTCCATGGAAATGTTATAACTTTGTCTGGAATGTTCCACAGTATACATTAAATCTATTTATCGAGAGGGAGACAGGTTATGTGACATTACAGTTCAGATCTGTGGAGAGTTGTGGAGTATTCACAAAAAGAACAAGCACAATCAGAGACAACAACCTGGTCTCCCATGAGGCGTTATGTGTGAGCCAACGTGTGTGATGATTGGGGGAATATTTTAGCCGCAGATGGTTCAGAAATTGCCGATCCTTTATGACCTTTCAGTTGACCTGTGACCTCAAATGACCTCGGATCATCAACAAACGTTTTTTGTGGCATCGGGCACGAGGACTTGACCCACGTACCAAACTTGGTGACAGGTGGTCCATAAATGGCAGAATTATCACAGGTGGACACACACACACACACACACACACAGACACACACACACACACACACACACACACACACAGACACACACACACAGACACACACACACACACACACACACACAGACACACACACACACACACACATACACACACAGACACACACACACACACGACACACACGACACACACACACACACACACACACACAGACACACACACACACACATACACACACAGACACACACACACAGACACACACGACACACACACACACACAGACACACACACACACAGACACACACACACACACACAGACACACACACACACACACACACACACAGACACACACACACACACACACACACACACACACACACACACACAGACACACACACATACACACACACAGACACACACACACAGACACACACACACACACACACACACACACACACTACACAGACACACACACACACACACACACACACACACACACACACACACACACACATACACACACAGACACACACACACACACACACACACACACACACACAGACACACACACACACACACACACACACACACACACACACACACACACACACACACACACACACACACACACAGACACACACACACACACACAGACACACACACACAGACACACACACAGACACACACACACACAGACACACACACACACAGACACACACACAGACACACACACACACACACACACACACACAGACACACACACACACACACACACAGACACACACACACACACACACACACAGACACACACACACACACACACACAGACACAAACACACACACACACGGTGAATACAAAACCTGATCAACCCTTCGGGGACCAGGTAATAATTATATTTTTGAGCGATAGAAACACCTATAATGAATAAATTCTAGATGGAAATGTTTCTAGTCATACCATGGAACATTCCAGGCAAAGGAAGAACATCTCCATGGAGACAAGCAGGTAGCAGACCCTCCACCAGGAAAGTTTTGCAGTGCACTGTTTTGGAATTTCTAGACTGCAGACGTTAAAAAGAACTGAGAAGTTGTCTTGAATCAAGGAGTCTGAGAGGGGCATAAGGCACAGGGATGATACATACACAAAACAAAACCTAGTCTCATCCAGAACAGGTGAACACAAGGCCTGGTCAACACAAGTCAAGATACAACAATCAGTAGAATAACACGCTAGAGTCGATATAAACAGACTGGTATGGGGGGGCACAAGGCCAGAGTGTTCTACAGAGGAGAACAGGATTACAGCGAGCAATCAAACTACTGTATTTTCCGGGATATTAGATGCGCTTTTAAGCCTCTAACCCCATCAAAAAACAACTGTGTGCCCCGCAAGTCAGAGCACCCTATACACGAATCCACGCGGGTGTCCCAGCATGACTTCAGTAAACTACAAACAGTGTTGGGGAGGTGACTTTTAAAATGTATTCCCCTACAGATTACAGATTACACACACCAAAATGTAGTTTGTAACGTAATCCATTAAATTACTCAAGGTGAGTAACGTAATCTGAATACTTTGGATTACTTGATTACCACTCACTGAAACAGTAACTGGAACCGAATACAGTTACTCATAATTTGTACTCTGATTACGTAACTCCGGTACATGTAATCTGTTACTCCCCAACACTGACTACAAAGCCGCACCACCCGCAGAACACGCAAAAACACACGGAGCAGACAGCGACCGCACAGACAAACACACCCACAGACACACTCATCACTCCACGCCGACGAGGAACGGAACGGAGGAACGAACCAAAAAAGCGAGTGCAATGTGCCACTTCTAGACACGACTGAACAACTGAGTCACTGTGAACACACCGACAATCCGTTGGTCCCAGACACACCCTCCCTACACGCCACAACTGAACAAAGCCCAGAGTCACCGTGAACGCCACAAACTCGTTTAAAGTCCAGTCCAGTTTATTTGTGAAAAAAGTTTGAAAATAGACCATTTAATGACGCCTTATAATCCAGAGGATTCTATAGTGCAGAAAATACAGTAGTAACAAAAACCAGGATGTAAGAAGCAAGAGGTTGTGAGAACTTTGCTTAACAGTAGTAAAGTAAGATTAAAGTAGATATCTGATGTAGCATTTATGAACAGCCTAAACAGTAAAAGATTACTGATGTAAACATTTCCATAACAGCACCTTTAAGTAAAAGTACAGATACCGAAGCAAAAAATACTAAAGTAAAAGTATCACATGAAAAAATCTACTTAAGGGAAAGGATTGAAGTACCTGTATTAAAAGTATTTTGTGCAGATTTTGAGATCTTCTAAGGCTCCAAATGTAGTGATTTTGATAAAAATTTGTGCTCGATTTTGTTCAAACAAAACCTTTTCTTTTTCTTTGCATATTGGTTTTTGCTCAAACTACAAACTTACCAAAAATACATCCTTAGCCTTTACAGCAGCTCTCAAACAATAAAAATACCTAAAATAAATAAATAAATAAAATAAATAAATAAAAATATCAATAAAAAATATCAATACAATTATTTAAAAAAAATAAAAAATGTAGTGGAATAGAAAGTACAAATACCTGCTCTCAAAATAGTGAAGTAAAAGTAAAAAGTATTTAAAAATCTCTCTTGCTAAGTAATGTACAGATACTTCAACATTTTCCTTAAGTACAGAACTTTACTGCTTTTACTTTGTTATGTTCCAGCAGTGATTCTAAGACTAGAGCCTGCACGGTGACTGAGTAGTTAGTCCTCCCTCACACAAAGAGGGTCCCTGGTTTGATTCTCTCTTTTGTCTGTTGTTGAGGTTGAGGAAGAGTATCTGAAGTATCCCATTTGATTTCATTTTGTTTCTCACTATAGACGGGAGGCCATGGCACAAAGAGAAAAATGAAGAATCCGAAGATGCTGTGGCTGCTGTCACCACCAACCATTATTTTTGAGATGTGTATAAAAATCTTTTATCTTTTTACTATACATATCCTGCTATCCATACTGCGTTTTAATGAACATTAATCAAACATGCATGAGGAGTGTTTTTTTTTTTTTTTGTATGCCTTAATTAATCTCACAAAGACGGTGTGTGAGATTTTTCTCTGTTCTTGGGCTGCTCGCTCTCCTCCAATGCACCTGTTTCTAGAAATTGATGTGCAAATTTCTCATTCTTTTATAAGCTACTAAAATATAAAACTTTTAATACTAAGAAATAGATTATTAAAAAGTTTCAAGTAACATGACAGACCTATGTTCCCCAGTACTGCTGCTCCTAAGTTTGTATGGGTGAGGTAACAGCAGCTCCAGGAAACAGTGGTACCTCGTGTTTAAAAAGGTCCCGTTGGTCTCCTGTTCTCTGGGGGGAGAACAGCGGCACCGGGGAACATCAGAACGTCCCCGTGTTCATTTAGAACAGGGGTGCTCAATACGTCGATCGCGATCTACCAGTCGATCGCCAAGGTCGTGTGGGTAGATCGCCGTGTCTCGTCTCGTACTCGCGTTTGGACTCGGTCTTGTCTCTCACTCAAGGTTTGACACTCAACAAGTGTGATCATATTTCATTACGGCCGTTGCTGTTGGTAATAAACTTGTAGCGGGTGCAGGAGCGTGTGGGGCGTCTCAGTGCAGCCTGTGCGCTCATTTGAAACCCGCGGAGACTCTTGGCGCATCACAAACACACACGCTCCCTATGCACGGCTCGTCTGCGACAGCGTGTGCCCTCGTGTACCAGCGTGCATCACAGGGCAGGTTCAACTTCTTAAACATCCTACCTGTCCATCTGCCTCACGTCAGCACGCCGCCCCTCGCCTTTTCACGCTCTCGCTCCTTCCTGCGTACAGCAAACACAAGCCCTCCCACAGTGCGGCTGATTAGAAGAGCAAGACCAAACGTGAAGCAAAAACCAGTCTAAATTTGTGTTCCAGTGTTGGCACAAAGCAGGTCTACAGCATAGAGCGGATCTACAGAACAGACCTACTGCCACATTTGGCTGAAGTTTGTCTGACAAAAGTGACAAATGCATGTGTGTTTGTCACGATGTGCGTTTGGTTTGGTAAATGTGCAGAGGCTGGTAAATATCACTGCAAAACCAGAAAAGAATGTAACTCCAGTTTGAAACTTTAAAAAACAGGTTTAAAAATCTTCCTTCACTTTTTCCACAGTTTTGTGTAAAGTGCCAGAGGAAGTTCTCTTAAAGAAGAGGTTCTCAAACTGTGGGTGAGGGTCCAAAAAACGGGCAGAGTGTTTCAGTGCAGTTTGTTTGGCTTTGTATTAGGTAGATCTTTATGACTTGGTCATTTTGTAAGTAGCTCACATGCTGAAAAAGTGTGAGCACCTCTGGTGTAGACTATATTTTTTACACATCCTCGGATGGTGCACAGTTCATGTAGAGAAAGGCCAAATTTCTTCACATGGGCAGCGCTGTTATAATAGACAATCTTTTTGCCTCTTTAATGCCAGAAAATGTGTGATACTGCTGAAAAACAATCTTAAAGTCTAACAGCCAACATTTGTTATTTTAGGCTGTTAATTAACCTAATAATTATATGGCAATAAACAGCCTATTCCGTTAATTCAACTTATTAATAAAATTTAACTGTCCTGCATCATTTAGCCCAGTGAGAGATGCTACAGTCAGACCAGATGCTAAACCTAGAGTCCTGAACCAGCAGTAAGTAAGCAAGTCTTTATTTATATAGCGCTTTTCACAGACATATGTCACAAAGTGGCTTTACAGAGCATTTTTCGTAGATTTTTTTCCTCTACACCCAGTGGTGGTAAACTACTATTGTAGCTAGAGTTGCCCTAGGGCAGACTGACAGAAGTGTGGCTGCCATGCTAATCAGCACCATCAGTCCCTCCGACCCCCACCATCACTCATGTACACATGGCTTTCATACTAGGCAATGTGGGTGAATTGTCTTGAAATGAAATTTTTTTGTGACTGGCGCCCCCCTGTGGCTCCTGATTTTCCCACTGGTCTCCCATCCAAGTACTAACCAGGCTCGGCCCTGCTGAGCTTCTGAGATCTGATGGGATCAAGTTTTGACAAGCTGGTATGGCCACAGCAGGGAGCAGGTCTGGTTCAGGTCGGGTTCAGATGAGCTGGAGTGGGGAGTGGTGTTCGGTGTCTTGGCCTTAGAAGCACTTTCCCCAAGAAGATCAAGATATAGCCAACGAACCAAACCGGATTCACTTCTATGTGGATCCTTTGCACACCTCGAAACCAGCCACAGTCCTCGAGCGTGGAGAACAGGAGCAACGTGGTTCTCCTAAATAGGACCATGAACCCTCGTACTGATCACAGGCTCCTCAAAATGTGCTGTTTTAATCTATTTTGTGTTTTTCAGATATTAAGGGGCATAAACTTTTTGTGGTAGCATTATGTCACCAAGGTAATTGATTGTAATGTGCATCCCCTGTGTGTACATTACAATCTTTAACTAGCCAGTTTTATTAACTTGACTTGTAGGTATAGATATTGAGAAATTTTCAGGGTTATTTTGTGTGTAAATATTAATTTCAACATGGAGAGGAGGTAAAGAGAAATCAGAATGAGATATGACAAAGATACTGTAAATAATCTTTTATAGCATGTATTAAATTCTGTTTTAAAAAGTGGTTTGTGCGGGATAAGGAGTCTCACCTCACCCTCTGCTCTCTATCTCAGACACGCCACTATTTCCAGACCGGAGCAGTGCATTGTGGGTAATCACAGCCCTTATCTCAGTGGGGAATGTTAATGGAGCATGATGAGCTTTTCAACTGACACTGTATCTTTGAACTGTTAAGTCAGGCACTCATATACTAGTATTTAAATGTACACTGTGTAACTTTTCTAGAATTGGTCCATAAGGTGTTTGTCTCCATGGAGATGTTAATACTTTAGTTTAAATTGTCCACAATATGTCATTCAACTGATCTGTCTTACATTTATTCAACTACAAGTGTTTAAGAGCTCAAAAATATCTTTAAAAAATATACATTGTTACAGTGATTTGTCTTGCGAAACCTCCTTGGACATTCATAAGTTTATGGCCGTACTGTGGATCATTCTAGGCTCATCTCCATGGAGACAACAGGTGACAGACCCTCCAACAGACAAGTTACACTGTGCACCTTTACGTATGAGGGAGAACTGATGTTGTAAATAAAGACAAATGTTTGAAACCATTAAGGTCAAAGTACAAAAAGTACATGTATGGTCATGTTTTTTTTCTCTTATGTTGTTGTGTAATATATATATAAAAGAAATGCTGATTAAAACTAACGTTTGCAGTGTGATCTTTCAAACTAATTATGTTATAAACCAGGGGTGTCAAACATACAGCCTGAGGGCCAGATCCGGCCCTCCAAGACCTTTAATCTGGTCCTCGGCTGATTTTCCACTAAAATATTTTAATTATATTTTCTATTAAAATATTGTTAATTTTCTGCGGTGTTTATCATAGCAGCGTCTCCAGTGTCTCTGTACGTGGCCCCTCCCACCAGAGCAGCACAAATGAAGACTTGTCTCTTTCCAAACGCTCTTAAAGGACGATCGTTTTGACTGTTGACCGTGACACCCTCATCAGAAAAATGTCCAACATGAGAAAAGTGGACACAGAGTGCAGGATTTTCCAATTTTCCTATTTGCGTACAAGTTCATGTTAAAACATTGTGTTGAAATTGCATTTTTCTTAAAGTTTCAGATTGTTCATAATATTATAATAGGAGGGTTTCAGTCACGTGATCACGATGATGCGTGAATTTCAGGTGGAGGGCAGGAAGTGAAGACAAACACGACAAACACGGCTCTGGAGAACACAGATATGGAGAAGAGTTCTTATTGTAAGGATTTAGAGCCAGGAGCAAGGCAAAAGTACGAGCAGTTAGTCGACAAATATATTGGGCTTGACCCTGATCTTATTGAAAATGAGAGAATTTTCAACTGAAGTAAAATATATGAGTATTTCTGTTGTAGTTGCAGTTGTAGAAATTCAATTTTTTTTCTTTTTTTAAATGTCTTGAAAAAATCTTGGTGTGAATCAATGCAGACAATATAGAAAGAATTAAGGTTTAAAAATGCAGTTAATTTGTCATGTAGCCTGCACTGAAATGGAAGCATCATGTTCTGCGTAGTTCCCTCTGTTTTACTGTATTGTACTGTATATTCAGTGTTGGGAAGGTTACTTTTAAAACATATTCCCCTACAGATTACAGATTACATACCCCAAAATGTAGCTTGTAACAGAATCCATTAAGTTATTTAAGGTGAGTAACGTAATCTGAATACTTTGGATTACTTGATATTGTCATGTTTTTTAAAACTACATGAATGTACCAACCACATCCTGAAAATTCTTGTCTGTTTTCTTCAAATTGTCTGTTGAGTCCAAGTCTCCATGAACAGGTTTACTGTAGAGAAACAAAGACTAAGATATCTGAACATAAGATGTTTTATCTGCTAAAAGACAATAAAAAGTCAGGTCTTTCTTTAAACATATTAAAAAATATTATTGATAGAGAAATGATTTATATATACGAGCCTTAAATTATGTCCATCCTACTGTTAGTGTCATATTGTTTAGTCCTGGTTTTAGTCCTGGATTAGCCCAAAATGTGAAAACAGGAAAACACCAATCCATTTATTTGAACAAAGTAACTGTAATCCAATTACCACTCACTGAAACAGTAACTGTAACTGAATACAGTTACTCATAATTTGTACTCTTATTACGTAACATGACCTGGTACATGTAATCTGTTACTCCCCAACACTGTGTATATTACTGTAGCACATTTGAGGACACCACACCACAGTACTTCAGTTACATCCAAGTAACAAGCAGAAGTGGAAGCGTCACGTTCCAGGTTGTTCCTATAAAATTAAGCACCACATGTACCAAAGAGAAAAGTGTTTCATTTATTGCAGAGGCATCAAGTCTTCTCAAGTCACAGGCCTAAAGTCCGAGTCAAGTCATGAGTCACTGAGCTTCAAGTCCAAGATGAATCCCAAGTCTTAGTCCATTTTATCAAGTCAAGTCTCAAGTCTTAAAAATAGTGACTCAAGTCTGACTTGAGTCTAAGGCTACGTTCAGACTGCAGGGCTTAATGCTCAATTCCAATTTTTGTGAAATCCGATGTTTTTGCGAGGTCGTTCACATTTCCAATTAAATGCGACTTGTTTGTGACTTCAGTGTGAACGGTAAACGGCCCGAAAGTGTCCCGCATGCACACTGGAGACACGATGACGTCAACCCCATGCGTCAACCGCAGCGAGCGTGCTCTGTGTTTACGGAAGTTGTCCAAACACGGTCGCGAGCATTGAGCACCTGGAGATTTTACAGTTCCGGTTTCCGCCTGCTTCAGCGCAGAATAGTGACGTTTGTCGCTTGTTAATGACGTGTAGGTGGATGAATGCGCTTTGGCCGTTCAGACTGAAGTCGCATGTCAAAAGATCAGATATGTATCGGTTTCAGGAGCACATATCCAAGTGGCCTGGGTCGCATTTGAAAAATTCGGATCTGTGTCGTTCAGACTGTCATTAAAAGATCAGATACAGGTCACATAGAAGCCAAAAAATCGGATTTGGGTCACTTCAGGCTGCAGTCTGAACGCAGCCTAAGTCACAACCTGCAAGTCCCACCTCTGTTTGACAGTATGGTATTAAACCTTTCTATCTTCATGGAGATCAAACCGCCAACACTCCGCTCACAGTCAGAATACTCGTTTTTCTAGGTATTTTTGCTCTATAAAACTACGTGTAATTGAATAAATGTAAAGCAGAGCTGTTTAAAGTCATATTGTGGAACATTCCAGGCAGAGGAATGACATATCCCTGGTCACAAATCCCCAACCACAAAGTTACGCAGTTTAAGTTTAAGTAAGAATCTTGGTCAGGAGTTCAAGGACTAGTCAGTATGTAAGTTTCTTTAAGTTGTGGTGACAAATATTTTACTCTATCTGTCTGAGTGGTGCTGTGGGTTCTTTCTATCTTATCTCGAGTGTTTCTATTCCTGCTTTCTTCCATTTTTGGCCTTCTCTTTTCTCCTCTGCTCCACCTCCTCCCTTTAAAAACCTTTTCGCATCTCCCTCGCTCGTTCTTCTCGCCAAAATGCCCGCCAAGAAAGTCGAACCCAAGAAACCAGAGCCCAAAAAGCCCGAGCCGAAGAAAGAGGAACCGGCTCCTCCTCCGAAACCGGCCGAACCCGAACCCAAAGCCCCCGAGGTGGATCTGACAAGCGTCGTTTTGGAATTCTCCGCCGAGCAGATCGAAGAGTTCCGTGACGCTTTTACGCTTTTCGACGAAACTCCGGCCGGCGAAATGAAGATCACCTACGCTCAGTGCGGGGACGTGATGCGCGCCCTCGGACACAACCCGACCAACGACGACGTTCTGAAACTCCTCGGTCGCCCCAAAGCGGAGGAGATGAACTCAAAACTCCTGGATTTTGACACGTTTTTGCCGATGCTGCAGCACGTGGCGAAGTCGAAGGAGCAGGGGAACTTCGAGGATTTCGTGGAGGGCTTGAGGGTGTTTGACAAAGAGGGGAACGGTACGGTGATGGGGGCGGAGCTTAGGCACGTTTTGGCGACGCTCGGGGAGAAGATGACGGAGGACGAGGTGGACAGGCTCATGGCGGGACAAGAGGACGCCAATGGACACATCAACTACACCGAGTTTGTCAAACACATCCTGGCGGGCTGAGCTTTGTGTTTAGATAATAAACCGGTGTAACATTATGGGTCTATTGTGTGTTGTGTCGTTCATTAAACCCAAATAAAAAAAATATTAATAAAAAAAAAAGTCAATATTAAACAATTAGGAAAATGGTCTCCTGGTTTCATCCGTTTTTGTATTTCAAATGCAGCTGAATTTCTATTTCTTTTTTTGTAATTTCTTTCACAACGAATTTTACACTCTAAATTTGAAATGTTTTGAGAGTTTGAAACAGTTAAACAGCATTCAACAGCATTTAAAAATCTAAAATATGAACAAATTGTGTTCCAGATGAATCATAAATCACAAAGTATAATATTGTAAAATAGTTAACATAAACAATGAAGAAAACAGGGCTTAAATGTCCATATGAAATACTGTATGCTGTAATACTTAGGATAATTTATTGGACTTAAAGGGCCCATTTTTACATTTTCTGATCTATACAGGGTTCCCACTTTTCAGAACAAAATTTCAAAACCTTTCCATAACATTTTCATAAACTAAAGTGAATTTTCCATGACTTTACAGCACCTACATGTGTAGAATTGATCAGACTTTTAGGTCTAAATATGAAATGTGAACTTTTTCCACTCACCTTATGGTTTGGGATTATAGTTTTTAAACATTCAAAATTCTGTTAGTGCATTTATTGTCGTCTCTTTTAAACAAAAGGCGCAGACGTTCAGAAATAATCATAAAGGCCTCATGAGAACTTAACAGAACGCTGTACCTAGTCTGCCTGGTGATACCAAGTCTTCTGGTTCTAGCCCAGATACTACTACTACTACTACTACTACTACTACTACTACTACGGCCTATAACTATTATACCCATTACACAAACATGTTACATTTGCATGGAAGAGATATTAAAATTCCATGACTTTTCAAAAACTTTAATTGAATTTCCAAAATTCCATGACTTTTCCATTTCTGGAAAATTACATTTTCATGGAAATCCTGTTAATTTGAAGTAAAGTAAAGTAACGTGTGAATGAAACAAAACACAACTCCAGGTCTGTTTTTGATGAGGAAACTGCATTCTAACATGACTCAGTATCTACTCAATAATATTGAATCTTTGTATTTCGACAATAATCAGCTGTAACTCTTTCTGTGTGTGTTGTGTTATTCACTAAATAGGAAATTTAATGGAAGATATTTTGTATAATCAGATTTTGAATTTCAAATGCTGTTGAATTTCACAGAGAATTTCCCACTGTGAATTTGAACTGTTGAATTCCACCATAGAGATACATGTAGAAAACCCCCATTGTGATGTCACTGTAAAGTAGGGATAGGCCTATAATATTCAAAACAAATAGTTAAAGCCAAATTTAGCTATAAGAAAAGGTTCAGCATTTGTGCATTTACATTTTAGATATTTCTCATGAAAATGCTCTTGCCGGTCATCTGGGAGAATAACACCATCACAAGAATTAAAGTGCACTATGTAACTTTCTTTATTCTTTAGTTTTTAAAAACATTTACAACACAATACAGAAAAGAACAATTTCATAATCATTTCCATCCACAAAAACACTACATATATATATATATATATATATATATATATATATATATATATATATATATATATATGTATATATATATACACACATATATATATATATATATATATATATATATATATATATATATATATATATATAATGTGTGTATGTAGCAGCTTTAATGTTGCAGGACCAGCAAATGTCCCTTAAAGACTCTATCAGTTAAATCCCACTGATTTAACTGATATTATTGAACTGAGTCTTTAAGGGACATTTGCTCTATATCTAGACTCTATATCAGTTAAATCAGTGGTCTCTGACCTTTTATGTGCCACAGACCGGTTTTAGGTCCGATAACATTTTGCAGACCAGGGGGCGAACATGGCATGGTTTAGTTCTGGTTCTAATTTGGCTAAATCCTGGTTTAGTCCTGCTTTTAGTCCTGGTTTAGTGCTGGTTTAGTCCTGGTTTTAGACTTGATTCCTGATTTAGACCTGGTTTTAGTCTTGGTTTAGTTCTGGTTTTAGACCTAGTTTAGTCCTGGTTTAGCCCTGGTTTAGTCCTGGTTTAGCCCTGCACCAGAGAAAAACAATATCGAGGTGAGTTAAAACTCCGGCTGTGTTTTCATGAGGAAACAACATTAGAACAGATCAGAAAAAATTGCATGATAAGGACGTTTAGAGAGAAGTTTTAGAGATCTCTGTTCTTGTCAGTCCCACTGGTTTGTTCTCTTTTACAGCAGGACTGTTTTCCAGCTCGGTGAAGATACAGAATCTGTAATATTAAATTGGAAGGCAGACTGAACCAAGCAGAGGACAGCCACAGACCACACCGGAAGTTCAGCACTATACTCCTCTTCAATTAGAAATATATTCGCCACGATGTCCCCCGAACCCTTTAACACCAAAGTCCCCAAAATGGAGGATATTGTGTAGAACGCTCTTTTTGTGGATTGGTTTTTCCTTGCGCCATCTCCCGGACGTGGGCGTAGAAGAACTAACAAAACCGAAATGTTACAGAAAAGAATGTAGGCTAAAATCAAAGCCAAACCGAAATATATGTTGATGAAATCTTGTGTTGTCACATCTATGAAACTTGAATAAATTCCCTGAATGGAGCAGAGCAGCCACACCAGTCCGCAGATAATATTTCGTGCCAAAATTCGCTTTTTAAGACGCAGATACGTGAGTGGGTGGACCACGGCTATGTAGCGCTCTCCGCAGGTCAAACACTGGAATAGTAAGAATGCCGACACAGAAATGAAAAATATGTACAGTCCAGCGAAAACAAGCGTATCAATGCAAAATGTAACGCCAAGCATGTTAACGACAGATGCCACAGCGCCTATGAGTTGAATGGTCGCCACATGGTACGTGAACGCGTCGCTGTGGCTGATTTTGGCGTGGACTTTAAGTTGCTGCAGGCCCAGGTACAAGATGGAAGCACAGATGGGGAGCACAACAAGGACGTTTATGATGCAATAAATGGCGACGATATAACTTATGTCTGTGTTGTAGATGCACGTCAGCATCTGAATGTACAGTCCAGATGATGAGAAGTTATATGAAGACTGGCACATGGCTGTATAGAAGAAAAAAAACAAACATAAAAAACACAAAATCATTCATAAAAGCAATGTATTCAACTGTTCTAAACTGTGCACTTCCTGTCACTCTAAGGCTACGTTCAGACTGCAGGGCTTAACGCTCAATTCGGATTTTTTTGTGAAATCCGATGTTTTTGCGAGGTCGTTCACATTTCCAATTAAATGTGACTTGTATGTGACTCCAGTGTGAACATTAAACGGCCCGAAAATGTCCCGCATGTGACACTGGAGACACGACGACGTCAACCGCAGTGAGTGTGCTCTGTGTTTACAGAAGTTGTCTAAACATGGACGCAGCATTGAGCACCTGGAGATTTTAAAGTTCCTCTTGTACCGGAGCCAGAACAAGAACAACTTACTTGTTTTAAGGAGGAGATTGAGAAGGAGAAGGACGAGGTTTTTCGTCGTGGTGTTTTGTGGGACAGCGGCAGCGACGTCTGTTGAAAGGAACGTGTGGATGTGGAGACGTAGCCAAGAGTGGTGAGTGGTGATGTGCTTCACTTCAGTGAAAAGGAGTTCATTAACAATTTTCCTATGACGAGAAGAAAGTTTGTGTACATTTGTGGCTTGTTGAAAACGTGTAGGAATGCGCCTTAGCCATTCAGACTGAAGTCACATGTCAAAAGATCAGATATGTATCAGTTTCAGGAGCACATATCCAAGTGTCCTGGGTCACATTTGAAAAAAACTGGATCTGTGTCATTAAAAGATCAGATACAGGTTGTCAAGTCAAAAAGCCCAGCCCCTCTGCTCCAAGTCTTCACCTCCACTCCTGAGCCCTGTCTCCTCTCACCTCTCCTCCTCTCTCCTCCTCTCTCCTCCTCTCTCCTTCCCTTTTTATTAGTTGATGAGGTTATTTTTAGTCTGGCCAGTAGATGGCAGCAAGAAAAACAGGTGTGTCTCAATCATTTCATTAGGCCCAGGTGCACAAACCAAACCAAACCAAACCAAGGAATGTGAGGGGAAAACATTAACCTGTAACAGTAGTTTTTTTTAAGTTCAGTTAAAATAGGAAATGGTGTAATCTAAGTTTAAGTACCACTCATTAATATATATATATATATATATATATATATATATATATATATATATATATATATATATATATATATATATATATATAACATTTAAAAAACAATGTATTAATTTATTAAAATTTGTCTTAAAATAATAAAATACTACATTTATTTCATATAGTCATTTCAAATTGTATAAAAACTAAATTATATTTAGGATTAAAATTGATTGGTAAAATGATACTTTGGTTAAAATTGTAGCTATTTAAGTTAGGTATAAGGAATATTATAAATAAATATGATAAATAAATATATATATAAATAGTAAATATTATAATTGATGTATATTTATTAAAATTTTAATAGATATATTACTAATGAAATTGTAAACTGTAAATTTAATTTCATTATGCATATTTGTTTGCTTTAAAGGTTTTCAACCTGCTACTGCTACTGCTACTGCAAATACCACCACTACTACTACTACTACTACTAAAGGAACCAAACAATTCAAATAAATATCTTCAAGCTGAGTAGAGCCTTGTGTCTTTTTCCCTGGTTTTTCAATTTGGACCTGCATTCCGTAATTAAAGACTTGACACACGTCACATAGGGGCCAAAAAATCGGATTTGGGTCACTTCAAGCTGCAGTGTGAATGTAGCCTAACAAAACAACACTTCACAAACAGATTCAGACAGTACGCAGCAGACTTATTTTGACCTCAAACGCTCACTGGAAAAAACAATATCGAGGTGAGTTAAAATCAACTCAGTTCTGAACTGAACTGAACTGACCAGAACTGAAGAAGCAGCTTGGATGAGCCGTGAAACGTCTCCAACCAAACTAACT